AAGCCAGCCGCCCCGCCTCCGCCGCAGCTGGGCCTCCTGTCTCTGCCTTCTTTCAGAAGCTTTGAGCCCCAGGTCCGCCCAAGGCCGGGCCTCACTGCCCACCCGCACAGGCAGCCCGAGGCTCCCGCCAAGCCCCAGCCGCTCCTCTGCCCATGGGTGGCCAAGACATTGAAGACAGGGAGATGTTTCAGGCCAGGGCGACCTCTCCTAGGAGTGGTGCTGCCACCGAAGCAGCCCCACGCTGGGGCCACACTGTGGCCACCTTGTGCTGAGGTCAGTCAGAGGGCGGCACCTATGTGCACGTCCTTCACTGACCCCCCCCCAACCGTCTCGCTGTATAGAGTGGCCTGGGAGGTGACCACAGCACAACCTGGCCTTTGTGCTTCCCAGGGGCTTCTGTGAGGAAGGGTCAGCAAACAGCAGCATCTGAGCAGCTCAGCTGGGGTACAGCGTGCCCCCAAAGCACTTGCCACTGGGAAATCTGACTTCAGGACAAACCCACCCCATGTCTAATCAGGTCCCTTCCACAGGCCTTCACAGTCTAGAGTCTTGTCTGCTTTTTGAGACACTGTCTTCACTGTAGTCAAGGCCAGCCTTGAACTTGGGACCTTTTTGCCTCAGTCTTCCCAATGCTGGGATCACAGCCATGTAACCCATGCCCAGCTCTTAACCCTGGTCTTGCTTGCCACTAATGGGCTGCACCAAGACAAGAAAGGGGAGCTGGCCACGAAGGCATGTGCTATTTGTCCACGTGCAGATAGAACCTTCTTGCTTCTCCCAGGAGGGTTTCAGTGCACACTTCAGGTTTGGTGCTGCCCCACTCAGTGGACCTGTGACTGAAGTGTGACCCATCAGCACGCCTATCGTTTACGGCTGAATGTGCTGACCCATGAGGCTCAGTTCCAGGACTTGGGTGGGATGGCTTAGGCCAAAGATAATCTTCCTGCCGATCTCAGAACTTTGGAAATGTTTGCTTGGCACCTCAGGGAGGACTAAAGGGGAGAACTCGCCTAAGAGGAAAGATCAGCATAGCCTATAGCACTGAGAACCTAGATCAAGCAGTACCTGAAGCTGGACATACCTAGACTTTCCAGCTTTAAGAACTAAATTCTTTTCAGCCAAGTCAGTTTGAGCTAAGCTTCAGGCATTCATCTAAAAGGTCCGTCTAATGACAGGAAGAAGAGAAAGAGAAAACAGAGGAAAGCCAGGTGGAAAGTGATTAGGGTAAAGGATCGGTGAATCAACTTGGTTTGGCAAGGGTTAAGTCACATTTCACAAACAGTGAGGTCAGATACTGCACATGAAGCTGTTTTGTGAGACATGAAGACGAAGCCACATTCCCTTCTCAGATGATGTGAGGTGAGACGGAGCACAGCTGTGACAGCAGGACAGGGACTGAGCCCCACGGGACAGGCAACCTGCGTGGGGGAGCTGCATGCACTCAGCTGCCAGGGGCTGGGCCAGGTCAGCTCTGGGCCAAAGGCGCCCTTGGACTCAAAGGTACTGTGTGGTCCAGGGCTTTTGCCGCCCTGAAGGTAGCAGTGGCTGCTACGTGGCCCCTCTGCACACAGCACATTTATGTCCTAACATGCTTGTTCGTGACCATCCAGGGCAGCACATGGCTATGCCATCTGTGCACCCCAGGTATCTAGCACAGAGCTTAGTCCATAAAAAGTGCTTTAAAAAAATCACTGAAGGAATAAAAGAGTGGGTTTTTTTCAATTGCTTCTCCATTGCAAGTTGTGGATAGAGGTGCTACCGGAAGCCCCCTTCCAGCCACAAATGCTGGACCACAGAGTCAAGGTCAAAAACAAGATGAGGAGGTGTCCTGCTTGCATTCAGAACAGAGGTGGCTGCGATGCCCCCCGGAGACCTGGCATGGGGGAATTCAGGGCTCCCGGCTCTGCTAGGGGCACTCAGGATCGTGGCTCTGATAACGATGGCCTCACGGTCAAAGACGACAGTGTGTACCCGGAGCTCACCAGCATGGTAGAGACGGCAGGCACAAAGCATGTTGGGAAACTCAAGAATCACAGCATGCCCAGAGAGACGGCAGGATAACTAAGGGTTCCGCTGGACATGCAGGGGACAGACCTCTTCCAGAGGATGCTCGGGTTCCTTGTGTAAAATGTCAGCGTCTACTAGAACCTGGCCACTGGAGGGTATGTGTCGTACCCAACCCAGTGTCAGCGCCCTATAACTAGCATTTATTCTGTGTCGTCCAGCAGGTAAGGACACAAAAAAGTCCGATTCTTTTTTTTCCCATATATTTTTGATCCTTGGTTGGTAGAATCGAAGGATGTGGAAGCCATTGGTTCGGTGTCCACACTGGTGTGTTTAAAAGTTAAGGAAATAATGGATTAGACTGAGCCCATGGGCTAAGTAGATGGAAAAGAACTTAACAGGAGTTGTAGGAATGGGAAAACGGCATGGCTGTGGGATGTCACTGCAGGGTCGTGGCAGGGGATAGAGAGTCAGGGAGTCTGTGTCCTGGTCTAGTTGGGTTTGGAGTTCGTGACTTTAATGAAGCCACCCCTGCCCTGGACTCTGCTTCTGTGGCCCAGCAGGGACCACACGAAGCCGGCCTGCTGTGCAGCACCAGGGCAAGATGCTGGGAAAGTGTGAGTCTGGTCACCACAAATGGTTCCAATCTGTCCCTCATGGGAACAGTTCCGTCATCCCACATCTGCAGAGCACCTGGAAGGGCCCAGCGTGCTGTCACACGGAGCAGGGTGGGGCTCTGGCACACAGGAAGCCTGGCTCCACACTCAGGGATACATTGAGCGCCTGGGCCTGGAAGTGCAGCTCTCCTTGCCGCCCCGGCCTGTGCCATGCCCTGCTGCTGTTGGGGGCTGGACCCACCCTGGGGTTCACAGCATGGCCAGCCTTGAGTCCTGCCCTAATGACTCCCTCATTGGACTCTCCTGTCCGGCCTAGGTCTCCTCATCCGTGACATGCAGGTGACGACTCTTCTCTCAGGCATCGTGCTGGGTAAACAGCTGGTGCTCAATAGATGCCATTCATCTCTTCCCTGTTCCTTTCTTCGGAGAGTGGCAGCTTTTAGGCAGGTCAGCCTATAAGTTATACAAGAAACTGGGCAGAATATCAAGGGACCTGCCCATCCACATCCTTGCTGGGGGCTTTCAGGTGTCATTCACTGCCTGGCCTTCAGCTTCTCTGTGTATGAGACGTTTCTCCAGGGTCTCTGCAATGGCCATGTCCTCCTCTTCCTTGAACTGGTTTCACAAGGGGCTAGCCACTGTGACCAGGGTCTCTTGCAGGTAGGGGAAGTCCTGGGACCCAGCTCTGGCCAGTGACATAGACATGTAAGTTCTGCTGGGGAACTACAAAGGTAATGTCTCCATAGGAGGAAAACCTCCCCCATTCCTAGTGGTCCATCTTCCTTGTGCCCGGACAGTAGGTGATAAGCGCTGGAGATGCTGCAGCCACTTTGTAACCATAAATCAACCACCACAAGAAAATCCACTCTATCTCTGTGAAGGGCTATTCCAGTATTTGTAGTTGCTCTTATGTTCATGCAGTAAAGGACTAATTGTGTCTTTAAGGCAAAAGGAAGAAGAGACACTTTATTTCTCCTTTGGGGAAAGTTCCAAGGGTAGATGTGGGCCTCAAGCCAACCAGCCCTGCTCTTTAGCAGATCAGCTAAGCAAACAGGAAGTGAGTATCCAAACATTTGGAGCGGCAGGAGGCTGGCTTCTGGCTGGAGTCAGCCTCTGTGGAGATCCCCTGCCAGCCTTCTATCCCCAGCTGGGCGCTCCTCTGAATTCCAGGATGGTGTCCCTCCTTGAGGACACAGGTTTAAAGCCACCCCTTCTCACTGCCCCACCTCTGGTCTGGGCCAGATCACCTTCGAGGGGGGGTGTATGTGTACCATGGCCCTCGCAGGTCCTCCTGGTCTTCTCCCACTCTTTGCCTCCTCCTGCCTGTGTCACAGCTGCAGCCAGGGCAATTCTTTATTCAAATGCAAGTCGCTCCCATCACCCTTTGCTTAAACCGTTCCCAAAGCTTCCTGTTCTTTCAGGGAGGACTGAAGTCCCTGGGCTCCCTCCACACTCCACAGCCTGGCCTGTGCCGCCCGCTCCAGCTCGATTCCTCCAAACTTCTCATTTGTGAACCGTGCCCGCGCTGTTTCCTCTTCGTGGCACGCGCGTCCTCTCCCCCTCGGCCACCCACCCCGCCAGGGGGCGCGCCAGCCGCACGCTCAGCTCCTTCCCCTGCAGCTAGCGCAAGTGGCCAGCTACAGTCACATCCTGCATGCCAGGCACGGTCACTGGCCAGAGAAGGTGCCCGGGAAGTGCAGGCTGCTGTGACTGACTGGCAGAGAGCTTGGCAGCTCTGCCTTGGGGGAGGCAGGCGGGGCCCCCATGGGGCGCACACCAGTCAGTAGCCCTGCCAGGATTTGAACCTCCGACCCAAGGCCACTTTCCTGCCCTGCTTGGGCTAGCACAAGGCGTTATTATAAACCTGTTTCCTCATCTTTACAGTGGGGACCCGGCAGTACCCAGTGCACAGGAGTGAGTGACAGATGCCCCTAAGACGCCTCGCTCCGCGGCACACAGCACTCAGCCGCTTTGCTGCCATCAGGATCAAACGGGAGCGCACGCGTGCATGGTGGAGGACTTCGTGGGTACACTGGGTCTGGAGGGGCAGATGCAGAGCAGGAAAGGGAGTCTCAAACAGGAGAAATGGAAGAGCGAGCAGGCGTGGGGGCCGAGGCAGGAGGGCCGAGGGGAGGCCGAGGCAGGAGGATCACTTCGAATTTGAGGCCAGCTTGGGCTACAGACTGAGTTCAAGAGTAGCCTACACGACATAGCGACACCATGTCTCCAAAAAAATAAAAAGAGAGGGATGGAAGGTTGAACAAAGAAAGCAAGGAACACACAAGCGTGAGGACACGTGGAACACGCGCGCAGGGCCTGCACCTCCAGGGTTTGAGAGACCAGAGCTGACGGGTGCATCCCCCCCCCCCCCCCGCTCACCTGTAGCCCCGCAGCTCCGCCTCCAGCCTCCTCCCCCAGCGCTGCAGGCCGGGCACCTGCCGCGCCAGGGCCTCGAGCTCACGCACACGGTGCAGGCTGCGCAGCACCGTCCGCCGGGCCTCCTCCGCGCGCCGCCGCACCTCGGCCTGGCACCGCCGCAGCCGCCCCGCGTGCGCCTCTGCAGCCGCCAGCGCCTCCTGAGCCTGCCGCAGCTCCCGCGCTGCCGCTGCCGCCGCCGCCTCTACCTCCGGGGCGCCCGCCTGGATCTTCCAGAGGCCGACCTGCGGGGACAGAGGGCAAGTGATGAGCATCCCGCCCCAGCTGCAGCGGGGATGTAGGACGACCTGGGCCACCGCCACCCTCCAACCTCCCAGAGGCACAGTGAACAGGGGACTGCGCATTTCACAGCGTGCTGCTTATGGGCCTGCTGTGCCCCGTCACGGACTCCTGTGATATCCCGAGTGAAGCAGAATGAGGGAAACTAAGTCATGAAGCTCAAGTTCTGTTCTTTGCAGAACAGCGATTCTCTGGAAGGCCTGGAGGCGCACGCTTATAATCCCAGCCGTCAGGAGGCTGGAGCAGGAAGATTGCTGGCAGTTCCAGGTCAGCCTGCACTACGTACATAGTGAGTTCAATATCTACCTGAACATTTTGAGACCCCGTTTCCAAAAAAAAAAGTGATCTCCAAACTCCGTGGTTTCTTGGCCTGCTGCCCCCAGTATCCATAGCCTTCAATCTGCCTTGGCTTCATGTTCCAGGTCCTCAGGGTGATGTACCCTTCCAGCTGGCTGCTCTCGCCCTCCCTGGAGTCTGTGCCCTCCACTGCCTGCGCCTGGAAGGTGGAGCTGCGTCTGGCTTTATGCTTTGTCCCAGAATCTAGAATGGGCCTGACACAGTTGGCGCCAGGTATGAATCAGTGTGGTATGTTTTCTCAGCCTGCATCCCACGGATGACTGGTGGCTTCCCACCTCCACCCGTGGCTTGGCCTTGCTCATGCCACCTGCTCATGCCCTTTGCACACGTGGCCCTGAGCCACACCTTGCTGTCTCTCTGCTCGAGCTACACCCTGTCTGCCGCGTCCCTCCCAACCTCTTCCTGCCTCCTTTGGTCCCCTGAGCAGGGGCTGTTCTTTTCCTTCATTGACCTCTGGCCCCCAGCACTGCCTCTGGCACAAGGCTGGGCACAGTGCTGAAGTGTTTGTTGACTGATCTCAGGTCTGTGTCTATAGCTCCCGAAATGCCTCACACCTGGGACCAGCAGTTGATGGCAAGTGATTACCATCCTGTGATCCAGCGTGCTCTGCGCCTCACTCGGGCTTCAGGCCTGGCCCTGAGGGCGCCTCAAAGTATTTGCTGAACCATGGAAGGAGCTGTTCCCCTCATGAGGCAGGGAGCCCCTTACGGTCAGCGTCAGCGTTAGAAGGGACAAGAGGAGTCCGGGTACTCGTGGTGGTGATGTGTGGAATGGTTGTGTAAGTGGGCCTGGAGTTGTGGTGCGCAGAATGGATAACAAGAGGGGTGGGGTGAGGTACAGTGGTGCACACCTCTACTCCCAGCTAGTCAGGAGGCTGAGGCAGGATGAAGTAAAATTTGAGCCCATTCTTGGCAACCTAGCAAGACCATGTCTTAAAACAGAAAGAGCTGGTGTAGCATATTAGAAAGTTCCGAGATTCAGATCCCCAGTATGAGGGAGAGGGCGAGCCGGGATGGGGATCGGGTTGGAGTGGAGTGGAATGGGGTCAGATAAGGACAGGAAGCAAGGAAGTAGAAAGGACTGGGTAGAGTTGTCCCCTCTGTCCCCTTCCTCCTTCTCCGCCCAGTCCGGGCACAGGAGTTTGTGGCCCAGACCTCACTCCACCCCACGCTCACCCCTGTGGCAGCCCCTCGCGCTCGCACCTGCAGCGCGAGGCAGCGCGCGTCACTGCTCTGCAGCGCGGCGCGCAGGTCCTCCACCAGCTCGCGCAGGCTGCCGTTCTCCTCCTCCAGCCGCGCCACGCGCTCGCTGTGCGGGCCGCCGCCGTCGTCCGGGCCGCCGTCCGGGCAGGGCGCGCGGGGAGGGCGGCGGCGGCGGCGCGGACGGCGCAGGCGGATCTGCGTCTCGATGTGCTCGCTGAGCGCGCCGCGGGGCAGCCGGGGTCCCGCGCGGGTGCCAAAGTAGCCGCAGAGGCGTGCGTGGAACTGGCGGAAGGTGAGCTCGGGGGGCTCGGCGCGCAACGCTAGGCGCGCCTCCTCCTCGGTGTCCGTGTCCCCGTCCGCAGCCACAAGTCCAGAGCTCGCGTCCCCGTCCTCACCGCTCGCGTCCCCCGCGGCGCCATCCCGTGCGACCTCCCCGGCGGCGGCGGCGCCTTCGGCGCGCAGTCCCAGCACGGCGCAGAGCGCGCGGAAGTCGGCGCGGGGCAGGCGGCCGGCGCCACGGCAGTCCAGGTGGTGGAAGACCTCCTGCAGGTACTGGTCCAGGCCGGTGGCCAGCACCACGATCTCGTTCTCCACGCCGCGGTCCAGCCCGTAGTGGTGCGCGAGGGCGCTCAGCAGCCACTGCGTGCGCCGCGCCGGCCGCCGGTACGGGTCGCCCGCCGCGCTCTCCATGCCCGGCTCCATGGCGCGGCCGGCGCCGCTAGCAGGGCGGCCGGAGCTGCTCGAGAGGAGGGAGGGGCTTGGCGGCCGCAGCGTGGTGGCGGCGTCGCGGGGTCCGGGTCCAGCCGCAGACGCGCTGGTGAGCACGGGGCGTGTCTGTGTATCCCACTTGCTTTGGATGGGGCCGAGCTAGGGGATTCTTCCTCCCTGCGACCCCCGGCGTCGGCTCCTCTCCCACTCCAGGGCGCTTGGCTTTCAACGCGCTCCAGCCTCCGTCCCACCCACTAAGTGCAGAGAGTTTGCCGCGAAACTGGAGCGCGCGAGATGCGCGCTTGCGGTTAGAAGCTGCGGCGGGCTGGGCTGCCCCCTCCGTCCACGCGCTGCCCCTCCCCCTGTCTGCAGAAAGCCCGGGAGGGTGGCCCAGTGAGCTCCCCTGCCTATCGGTGTGGGAACGCCTTCTCGCCGGTTAAATTAAGCTTCCCAAACCCGCCCCCCCCCCTCCGGGGATGTGAAAATGGCCCAGGAGTCAATAACTCGAGCAGAGGAGACAGGCGTAGAGAGGCAGGGGACCAGGTCTGGACATCCCGCTGGTGAGAAACTGCTCTCCAGGTGCGGGGTGTGTGTGTGTGTGTGTGTGTGTGTGTGTGTCCATGCACGCATAGGCGTGTGTTAGGAGGCAGGGACAGGGCTCCTTGAAAAGTGATTGTCTCTCCCTTTGCAACCAAGAATGGCAATTTGGTAGTAGGACCCGGTTGCATCTCTAGACTGTGGTTAACGTTTTTTTAATTTAATTTTATTTTATTGGTATGTTTAGATATACATGTTGATCACATTCATTATAAAGAATATGTTCCTGTACAAGATATAACTTGGTTTTTTCCCATCCTCCTGTCCTCTATTCAACTCCTATTTACAAAGCTTGTACCCCCCCCCCACCTCCTTTTTAAAAAACCTTTTCCTTCTTTCTGGGGTTAATCTAACAGGTTGCTGTTCGATAACATTTTCTGTGGTGCCTTAGCACACATTTCTTGGCAGGGTATGCACACACCTGTAATCCTAGGCTGAGGCAGGAGAATCGATGAGAGTTTGAGACCAGCCTGGGCTACAAAATGAGTTCAAGGCTAGCCTGAACTGCATCACTAGACCCTGTCTCAAAACAACAAAACAAAACAAACACATTTCTAGAAGGCAGACTCCTACTTCTCAGAGAACTGCTAACCCATTTTCTCTCTCTTGCACAAAAGAGATGAGGTGATGCAGCTGCTGTTTCCTATGCAGGGCCAGTTATCCAGGCAGTGATACAGACTGGCAGCCTCCGCTGCCTTTGTGTGTGAGATAGGTACATGCTTGTTTTGTGTGCAGCTCTGTGAGTCAAGTGTTAAACCCTGCCATTTGCAAAGCAATACAGTTCTGTTTCCTTAAATTTTATCCATCACTTTTGCAAAACAAAACACAAGTCTGTTGTCTCTGCCACCCTGGCCCAGAATCACCACTTTGCCACTTGGCAAATTCCTGCTCTTGAATGCTTTGCCCAAGGATCACCTCTCCTGAGAAGGAGTTGGAGTCTTCATCCCGAATCACGTGGATGTACATTCTTTTGGTTTGTTTTTTAATTGCTAAAGTAATGGCCATCTGGGTGATTTACTGAGACTTTGTCTCCAAATTAAAAATAAAAAATAGAGATGGGGGATAGCCAGTGCAAAGGCCCTGGGTTCAATCATCAGGGTCATCTCCTTCCCCAAAAACACGAAAGGAAAGGAAAACACATGTGTACCAGATGTTCACTGCCTTGTTTATATGGGTGCGTTTAAGACAGAAGCCATGAAGTAGACTGGGGGTCAACCTGCTGAGATTGTCAGGACAAATCACCAAGCAAGGGCAGGAGACGAAAGCGAGTCATAGCACCGTTATGTACAGTATTGACACGTACATGGCAATGACAAGGAATAATGACTGATAAGTTCCAGGAGGACACATGCACAGAAGTGTAGAGGGAAATGGTCGCATAAGCAGATTCTTAGTCTGATCCTTTCTAGGGCTGGGAGACCTTTAGCTTTCGATGCAAAGCTTCCTTCTGGACAGGGTGGGGCTTTCTTTGGCTCTTTTTAAAGAGGAAAATGTGTTTTGTGCATCATTGATAGACTGTAGAGTTCCATTATTTAAAAAGAGATTTCAACCATGGAAGATGTACAGGCCAGTGTTTTAGGATATTTAGAGTTGCATAGCCATGGCTTGGTTTTGACTCTCCGTTTTGAATGTTCTCTGCCCCTCTCCAACGCCAGCCTGTGGGTGGTTAGCCCATCCCCTGGCTTCTTACCGCTCGGCCCTGGTAACCCCTACTTCCTTTCTCTACAGGGTCACCTATTCTGGACACTTTGCAGAACTGGAATTGTGGTGGTGAACTTCTTGAAGAACGCCCCAACTCTCTGCCCAGAGTGGCTGCTGGGTGCTCATCCCACTGGCAGCAGGGCTTCTGTGTCGCCGGGTGCAGGGAGGAACCCCGAGATTCCAGGGCCTGCACTTGCGCCCCACCCTGCTTCCCAGGTCTCTGTCTGTGGTGCCTGCAGCCGTCCTTAGAAGAAGCTGCTGCCATCCAGCCCCGCATCGGGTCACTTTCCATTACTGGACATTCGCCTGAGACCACTGACCCGGTGAGAGAAAGGTTTTGGAAGCTGCAGTCCAGGAGTGGCCAGCGCCATTGTGTGTGGTCTGCATGGCTCAGCATGGCGAGGAGCTTAGAGGGGAGCCAAGTGGCCACTGGCTGCGTGTGTGGGAAGCCAAAGAGAGGCAGCCGAAGAGGCATGACCCCAGGGACCCAAAGACCTTCCACAAAGCCCTGTCACTTTCAGGTTCTGCTGTCTCCTGCCAGCACCAAGCTGAAGCCAAGCCTTGGACCCCACCCCACACAAGGGATTCCTGCACAGTTGACAAGGTGTCCAGTGCTTGCAGCCCTAAAATATCTTCCAAAGCTGCCTCCTTCTCTCTGAGTGCTCTGCTGTGATCACTCTGGATGAAGCCCCCAGCATCCCTCACCTGTGTCATGGTGGTGTCTTCCTCCAAAGAACTGCCTTTGACCTCCTGTACCTGTTCTTGACAGCCAGAAGGATACTGTTAATGCTTCAATGAGACTTTCTCCGGACATAATTATTTTCCTTTCATTTGGCCTCACCATGACTCCATAGCCCCTCACAACCACTTCCTCTCCTACCACCCTCCTACTGCTCTCTTAACCAGGTCCTGCCTCAGGGCCTTTGCCTCTGCTCACCTCACGGTATCACCTCTTTCAAACCTTGTGTCTTGGTCTTGGGTGTCGATGTCCGCTCCCGGCCGGCAGGAAGGACACACGACATAGTCTGGTAGTGGACAACCTTTTCTTTTTATTTTTCTTCTCCGTACAGCCTGCCCTGGGTTTTCCCAGCTGAAGCCTCCTTTGGTCTGCTCCCCGCGGCTCCTTTTGTGCTTCAGCCTGCCCCAAAGCCTCTACCGGTCCGCTCTCCGCGGCTCCTTTTGGGCTTCTACTTTCGGGCTTCTATCTGGCTTCTTTTTCCGCCCAGGGGTGGCACCGGTATATATACGGGTACAGTGTCCAATCATGTTAAAGTAAGCAAGGCAAGCTGATTGGCTAACATCATCAGTTGCCAGGCAGACTATATTGTTGAGCGGGTTGTTTACGCGGTAAGCAGGAAACTAACATATTCGATGGGAGGGGTAATCTACCTCAGGCCTCACTCTTTACTACAGGCCTCACGTCCGCCAAGTGAGGCGACCGGGCTCGGGGCTGCGGCTCCCAACATCTCCCCCTTTTTTATTTTTTATGAATGTGCGCATCGTAGCCCTTCCTGGACTGGGTGTAGAGGCTTATGCCCTATGCGTAGGCCCACCGTAGGTCCTTGGCTTAGACCCTGGTCGGCCGTCCCATGGTCTGCCAAGGCCCTGAGGCCCTCGTCCTTTTTCTAGGGCCAGGCACAAACTGGACGGAACCTGGATGCACACAAGCTTGCACTCATTCTCTCTCCGTAAAGAAATCCCCTCGGAGAGAAATTTAGACCTGGGCAGCATCTAACAGTCCAGCGGCTTACGTGCAGGATGGGGTAGGGCCTGGCTTAGGTCGAGTCATGCTGGGGAGGCACGCTCTTACCCGTCATTGACTCATCTACCCTGCTATATCATAATTTTTTAGAGGAGGAGTGTGGGAAGCTCACCGTCCCTAGACTCGGTCGTAGGCTAGGCGAGCGAGCCATGCATATGCCTGAGGATCTTTTTGTCCATTTCGGGCTACCGCTATTTCTATTCATCTTGTTGGTTGGTCTGTGATGGATCTCCAGTAGGGCAGGTCTGATCTTTAGTCGAGGGCTTTGTTGTCCGTGTCAGTCTCTCCGGTATCCACAGTGGTTCTCGTCCCGATTCCTGTGGGAAAACACAAACCGCGCCTCGGTTCCAGCTGACCACTGGATCCGGGCCCATCCATTGTCCTGTCAGGACATCTTTCCACTTCACCCACCCTTTATGGTTGGGGGAAGGGTTGCAGTGCTCCACAGCTGGGGAGCGATTATCATTATTTAAATTTAAAAAATTGTGTGTGAATAGTGCCATGGATAATCGTGCCTTTGGGGCCAGGCCTTGGCCTACTCCCCCTTTTTGTTTTTGTAAAATTTTTTTGAGGCTTTTATGAGCCCTCTCAATGATTCCTTGACCTTGGGGATTGTATGGGATACCATGTTTTAATTGAACCTCCATCATTTTGCAGAACTCATTGAAGGCTTTGCCTATATAGGCTGGTCCATTATCAGTTTTTAATATTTTTGGTTTGCCCCATGCGGCCCAAGCCGCCAGGCAATGATTGATCACATTAGACACTTTTTTACCTGTTTCTGTTGTTGCAAATATGACGCGAGAACAGGTGTCTGTGGAAACATGAACATATTTAAGAGTCCCAAACTCCTGTATATGTGTGATGTCCATCTGCCAAACATCACCAGGGATCAAACCTCGAGGGTTTACTCCCATCGGTATGGCAGGTTTGTATGTGGCACAGGAGTCACATAGTCGCACGATATCTCGTGCATCTGCTCTAGAAACATGGAAATGGTTTGCTAGTGTCCTGGCATTAACATGAAATTTATCATGGAAGGCACGGGCTCGCTCGATTGGTGTTAGTAAGGTAAAAATCCATAACGGGCGAGTGGCAGTGTCAGCAGCCGTATTCCCCTGTGCCATAGGCCCTGGCAGGGATGTATGTGCTCTTATGTGGGTGGTGAAGACCTTATGGTGTCTGTTCTGAAGCAATGTCTGGATAGACAGGAACAGCCCAGCCACTGTGGAAGTGGATCTAATTAAACTGGCAGTCTCAAGCACTTGCA